AGTTTCCTTTAAGGGTCCACCAGGAACTGTAGCTGCTGTTTGTATCAGGTACCCAGCTCCAAAAGGACTGGATATTTCATCCTGATTCATCTTAACTACTACCCCTACCCAAAGGTGGGTGGAGGAGACAGTTTTCCATCCAAGTTCCTGCCCAAACTCATGAGTTCTCTGCTTTTCTAAAACATATCCAGTTTACTGACTTCCTGTTTGTAGCACATGCTCAACCAAAGTGCACAATCAAACTTTACTCAAGTGTGAGGTTAGTGATCACATTCAGCCTTTCAGAAACTTCAAACCCTGGGCACTAGCAACAAGCCGCCAATAAGAGCCAACTAAAGATTTTAATCTGTGGCGATGAACCAGATTGTCTTTTTGAAGGACAGGAACTGTTTTATTTGCTGGCAGTGTTGCCTCAGAGACCAGCCTTCTGGCATGAATGCTGAGAAGAATGGGAAATGTGACGAGACCTAAGCTAGGCAAAAGAAAAGTGAAGGAAGGGAAAGAATGGCATTGGCAATTGCTGTAGTGATTAGAGAGGCAGTAATGGGGTCAGGGAGCCTGAGATCCTAATACTTTGTACCCGTGACAGGGATGAGAGTAAAGCACAGGAAAGACAGCAGTGAGCTAAATGGTAGCAAGGCAAAGGACTTTAAAAATCATTTTTGGCCGGCCGTGTTGGCTCACCCCTGTAATCCCAGCACTTTGGTAGGCCGAGGCGGGTAGATCACCTGAGGTCAGGAGTTCATGACCACCTGGCCAACATGGCAAAATCCCATCTCTACTAAAAATACAAAAAAATTAGCTGGGTGTGGTGGCATGCACCTGTAATCCCAGATACTCAGGAGGCTGAGACAGGAGAATCACTTGAACTTGGGAGGTGGAGGTTGCAGTGAGCCAGGATCATGCCACAGCACTCTAGCCTGGGTGGCAGAGTGAGACTCCGTCTCAAATTTTTTTTTAAACCCTTATGTGCACACATATTTTATGATAGGGCAGCAGCAGTTGACATTATCATGGCCATTTAGTCCTGGTCCATTAGGTAAGCAAAAAGGAGAGTCTTTGACCATATGGAAAGGGATCTGTGGTACCCAGAAGGATAGTTTTCTTCAGAGAACTTTGCTTAGAAAGTATTTTTCTTTGCTCCAAACCTGTAGATAAATAGCCTAATTTAGCCTGACGAAAACAGAGATGGGATCATTAAGGCCTTGGTGTCAGGAGAAACAGCTGTGAGACTGAGCAGACCTCAGAGAATGATGGTTGTTAAGGCAGGGCCTTGCTGACCGTGAAGTCAGAGCCCTGTGGCCCTGGGTGTAACCAGAAAACACACTTTGTTGCAGCCATAGTAATACAGTAACCACAACTACTGTTTCTTGTGTACTTACTGTGTGCCAGGTTCTGTGAAAAGTATACCATATACATTTTCTCATTTTATCCTTGTGCCTGCTAGTGCCTGGCCCTTCAACCCCTTCTCTGGCTGTCTCTGCCCTGCTCTGTGGACTCGGAAGCCAGACCCTGCAGGCTGTAGCTCCCAGGGCTCTTTTGCATCCTGATTGCCATTTTAGTTCAACCAGCAGGTAACCCCAGCAGATGATCAGAGGGTGGGATGAAAGAGAGGCTGGGATATTTCTTCCTTATTCCATCCATGCGGTGGGCTGCATCTCCAGCCTTAGCTGATTCCAGGCCTCAGTGGGCTCAGGTACCATTATTTCCTTTTCTTGTCCTTTCGGCCTTAGGGAGGATAATGACTTCCCACTGTTGCTAGTCTCCAGTTGCCCCACCACCCTTTGTTTGTTCCTTTACCTTGTTCAAACCTCTGTAAGAAATCCATTCATTTGAAACATCTAGGGTAAAGTCAGTTTCCTGCTGAGACCTGACCAATATAAGCTTCAAAGCAAGCGAAAGTATTATATCCCCTATTTTACCCACCACAAAGGCTAGGTAACTCGTCCAGCATCACGCACCAAACAAATTCATGTCTGTGCATTTCAAAGTCTGTATGTTTAATCACCACAGCACGCTGCCTGGCCTCTCTATGTTACCAGAATGATTCCTTTGGAATCGAGAAAGCCTGAGGCCTAAGTGGCCAATAAGCAAGTGATTCTTTGAGAAGCAGAGATGAAGATTGACATAGCCCAGCAGTTAACCTAGCACAGAGGGAATGGAGCCCCCAACACATGGAAGGAGTGAGCTGGGTGCAGAAAAAACAGAATTGTGGTTTTACAGGTTAGAACCAGATGTTTCTCACTTAGCAGTACATTGCAGTACACAGGTACATGTTTCTTAGTTCCCCGTTTCACTTGTTGAAGTATTTATTTGTCAGTATAGTCCAGGCACTGAGGATAGGTGTTAGAAGTGAAAGGTGGTTAAAAGGTAGGGTCTGCCTTCAAGGAGCTCATAGTTTGGAGGGAAAATTACTATTGAATAAAATAATAATTACCCTTTGCTAATTAAGGATGGTTCAGAAGTTAAGTGCAAAATTTCAACAATAATCCAAAAAAAGAGTGACTAAGTCTGTCCTACTGTGCCATAGTGACAAGGCAGGCCCTAGAGAGTCAGGGAAGTTTCATTAGAAGGGACAGTGCTTGAGCAGAGATTTGAAAGGGGAAAAGGGATTTGCCAGGCAGAAAAGAATTCAGGGGCCAGGCGCAGTGGCTCATGCCTGTAATCCCAGCACTTTGAGAGGGCAAGGCAGGTGGATCACCTGAGGTCAGGAGTTCGAGACCAGCCTGGCCAACATGGTGAAACCCCATCTCTACTAAAAATACAAAAAATTAGCTGGGCCTGGTGGCACAAACTTGGAATCCCAGCTACTTGGGAGGCTGAGGCAGGAGAATTGCTTGAACCCAGGAGGCAGAGGTTGCAGTGAGCAGAGATTGCGCCATTGCATTCCAGCCTGGGTGACACAGCAAAACTGTATCTCAAAAAAAAGAGAAGAAAATCCAGGAATGACTTTCTCGGAAGAAGGCAGAACTCGTGTTAAGGCACAGACACGTGAAAACACTGTGTTTGAAGAGCTCTGAGTGCCTTTCGTATGGGTAGAACATGCACTGGCGGGGAGCCATGGTGGGTGATGAGGTGGAAGGGTAGGAATAGCACAGAAGAGCCTGAAGCAAATACACAGTCACTCTGGAGCACTTTTGTAGCCAGCATACCTTTAGAGACAGGACTGCTTGAGAACGCAAAGGCCAGCCAAGACAAACATAGATGCAAGAGTTGGTGGGAGCAGGGTTGGAGGAAGAAGGACAAAGGAAGGTCAGCTGGACCTGTGCCAGGCTGAGATCTGGCTTCTAGCCACTCACAGGTAGGAGCCTAGACTAATTTAAGTGAGGAGGGGTTGGTGGTTCAACAAGAGAACATCTGTGTGATTTGCATATTGCCATTAGTCATTCATGTGTCTGCAGTCAAATTTAGTAACCTGGTGTTTAGTTCAAAGCATACTCATATTTTCATTTCTCTCAGTTCCTTGGCTACTGTAGTACACTTACTGAACACTATTCAGGTACTGGGCAACTTAAAAGCTATTGAACTCGGGTAACCTAACCAGCCATCCATCAAAGTCTTGGACCATGATGGCTGGATTGAATTACCAGTCACAGATTGGTTCAGTCCAATCTAGCAAGTGTTTATTGGACTGCTTCACAGTTTTAGGTATTAGGAATATCTGGTAACCAGCCTTCAGGATGGCTCCCAGTGACCCCTGACTCCTGGTATTTACATCCTGTGTAGTCAGTACACTCCGGGATTGGTTTATGTGACCAGTAGAGTATAGCAGATGCAATGGGATGGCCTTCCTGAGATTAGATTATAAAAGACACTGCAGCTTCTGTCTTGGACACTGTTTTGCTCTTGGATCACTGACTGGGAAGAGCCATGCTGTGTGCAGGCTTCTAGAGAGGCCCATGGAGAAAGAGACTGAATCCTTCCAGCAATCACATGAGTGAACTTGGAAGCAGATTTTGCAGTTCAAGTGTCATCTTCATGGCTGCACCCCTAGTTGACAGCATGACTGTGACCTCATGAAAGACCTGGAGCTAGAAAAGCTGCTCTCAGGTTCTAAACCCGCAGAAACTGTTTAAGAAATAACTGTTGTTTTAGATGCTAAGATTTGAGTTAATTTGTTACACTCTTTAGAATTTTACAGTTTGGTCACACAGACACTGATTATTTGACTGTGTCTCCAGCTTGGTATTATCTGGTAAACAAGATGTGCGATGACCAAATAAGTCACATGTTTAAAGGCCACCTAGGTTCAAAGAAGTGGAGGTAGATCTACATGTACTCTCATGAAAAAACTTGGAGACGTATTTAGCGGAAGAGGTCAAATTGTATAATGTGGTCTTTATTTTTATTTTATTTATTTTTTTAAATATACTCTAGGCTGGAGCACAGTGGTGCAATCTTGCAATCTCATTGCAACCTCCATCTCCCAGGTTCAAGCGATTCTCATGCCTCACCCTAACCCCACCCCCGCCAAGTAGCTGGGATTACAGTGTGTGCCGCCACGCCCAGATAATTTTTGTATTTTTGTAGAGACAGAGTTTCACCATGTTGACCAGGCTGGTCTTGAACTCCCGACCTCATGTGATCCTTCTGCCTCCCAAAGTGCTAGATTACATGGTGCCTGGCCTTATGGTCTTATTTATGTTTTTTAAAAAAAGCTGCTCCAGTTTTCTAGATTGTCAGTGAAAGGGAATTCCACTCGGGGAGGAGCAGCTGACAAGCCAACCCATGATCCCCGGTAAATCACTTTCACTTTGGGTAATTTCTGCTAATTTACTGTTACTAATCCTTGAGATTCTCAGCAGGTATATATACACATTAAAATTCAATATTTGAAAACATCTGTTTAACAGTGTTCAAAATCATTTTTAGGTGAAAGGAGCATTTTGTTACAGGAACTAATAGTATGGTTAGTAAATAAATGATATATAATGTAAACATCAGGCCTCTCTGGCCTGTGACTATAAAGTAAGGTCATAGGTCATTCTAATTTTTTTAAAAAATAATCTTGTAGGAAGAGATGCATTTTGTCTTTTTAAAAATTCTTTTAGCATTCTGTACACTGTCAAAGAGGTAAAAGAAAAATGACTGAAACTTAAAAGTGAAAGAATGCTTCACAATTAAATCCACAATTGTATACATTTATCTTACATGTCAGTGAAAAATCACCAACTATTTTAAAAACAGGACAAATTACATCACAAAAGAAGCAAAAATTAGAAAAAAATCATTAAAAAATATATCCAACTATGAAAAGTGTTGCTCTCTTGGTTTCTTCACATCCTTCTCTTCTGCGTACTGATGTACAACCCATTGCTTCCTTGGATAAGTGCATCCCCATACTTATTCTTCAGTTGTCCACTTACATCTTCTTCTGTCTGCTCCAGGGCTATATTCATCAGGCAAGCCAGGACCTCTCCATAATCCATTCCAGAATAATTTTACCACAACTGGTTGTCCAGTGATTTAAGAAGTCACTAGGGGTTTGCTTCCAAAGACTCATTTTAACAATCTTGGGAGGCAGGAAACCTGAATTCTAATCCTAGCTCTGCTACTTAATTAGCTGTGTGACTTGGATAACTCATCATTTCACCTCTCATGGCCCCAGGTTCCTCATCTTGCCAGCTGGATCCAGAACCCTCACCCAAGGTGCCCCATAAGCCCGGCCTCCTCCATTATAATTTTTAAAATTGAGTTAAGATTAATATGCAATAAAAAAGCCCAGATCTTAGAGGATCGATATGTTCCAATGATGTTATACACCTATATAATCACCATCAAAATCATATATAAGACATTTTATTTTTTTATTTTTTATTTACTGCTCCTAATAGAGCAGGACTCTCTCACAGCCACTGTGCCCTGAGTATCCAGGACATTTTCATGGTCCCAGAAAGTTCCCTTGTGCTCTTTTCCAGTCAGTTCACTTCTCCTGAAACTGCAAACACATGCTGATTTTTATCACCGTAGAAATTAGATTTCATCACAGGCGTGGTGGCTCATGCTTGTAATCCCAACACTTCGAGAGGCGGAGGTGGGTGGATCACGAGGTCAGGAGTTCGAGACCAGCCTGGCAAACATAGTGAAACCCCCTCTCTATTAAAAAAAAATGAAAAAAAAAAATTAGCCGGGCGTGGTGGTGGGCAACTGTAATCCCAGCTGCTTGGGAGACTGAGGCAGGAGAATCACTCTGCCGGGAGGCAGAGGTTGCAGTGAACCGAGATCACGCCACTGCACTCCAGCCTGGGCTACAGTGTGAGACTCCGACTAAAAAAAAAGTAGATTTCATATACATGGAATCTTATATCAGCATCATGTTTTTGAGATGTATACATGTGAATATTAATAATTTTTTCCTTTTGTTGAGTAATATTCCATTGTTTGACTGTACTACACTTTGTTTATCCACTCACTTCTGGATAACATTTGGGTTGCCCAGTTGTTGGCTATTATGAAAAAGGCTGCTATAATACTCTTGCATACGTCATTTTGTGGGCATATGTTTTCATTTCTCTTGGCTGAATACCTAAGAATGGAATTGCTGGGTCATAGGGTAGATGTATGTGGACCTTTAAAAAAACTACAGTTCTCCCAAATGTGTGAGCCATTTTACAACACCATCAGCAATATATGAGAGTGACCATTGCATCACATCCTCACTAACACTAGATGGTCTTCGTATTATTTCAGCCACTCTAGTGGGTATAAAATGGTGTTTCATTGTGACAACCAAAGGCGTTGAGCACATTTTCTCTTGTGTCATTTTTATACCTGAAGTGTGATCTGAACTTGAGTGCTGCAAATTAGCTTGCTCTCTCTGTCTTTTTTTTGAGATGGAGTTTTGTTCTTGTTGCCCAGGCTGGAGTGCAACGGCACAATCTTGGCTCACTGTAACCTCTGCCTCCCGGGTTCAAGTGCTTCTCCTGCCTCAGCCTCCCAAATAGCTGGGATTACAGGCATATGTCACCACGCTTGGCTAATTTTTTTGTATTTTTAGTAGAGACTGGATTTCTCCATGTTGGTCAGGCTGGTCTCTAACTCTCCACCTCAAGTGATCCACCCACCTCGGCCTCCCAAAGTGCTGGGATTATAGGCATGAGCCACCACACCCTGCCAAATTAGCTGTCTTTCTACTGGTGTCTTCCAGTTATTTCCGGCCGGATCCAGGCAATACCTCACAGATTCCCACAAGCCGGTCAGTCAGTCACGGCGAGTCAACCTTTCCCTTTATTCCCCAGGCTCCTTAACATTCAAGGCTCCTTATGTCCCCTTTGATGTTTCCCATTATGGGTTCTGTGCCTATAAATGGGGTGGGGTAGGCGGGAGTGGGGGTTGGGTGGGATGTGAGTGCGTCATCTGTTGCCTGGTTACAGGGATATGTTCCCTCTCCCTGATAATTTGGGAAACTAAAGCACACTGTAGTTTCTACCGCATGGGAATGGACTCCGAGCTTCCTCATTTTTCCTTCTTCATCTCCCCAGCTACTAGGTTACCTATCGTCACCACCCCCGATTTAACTTGTTTCATCACATTATATGTATGACAATTATTTGAGTCATTCGGGTTTTTTTTTTTTTTTTTTTTTACTTTCTTTGAAAGGCAAATTAAAATCAGTGCTGGGAAGATACAACCTAAAAGTAACAAGTTGCGTAGGATGAACTGCATCCCAGAAATAGGGGCATCTATTCAATTTCAAAGGCCTCCACTGAGAGAAAGTTTTCCATGAAAGAAAAAAGAGTCTTAATCTTTTTAAATCTAGTGTTAATTACTCATTTAATGAGCTTTCTAGACTTCCTGTCCTGGAAATATCTGGTAATGGGGAATGGAGTTGAAGCTAATTCAGCTTTCTGTAGTCATAGATCATAGTCACAGATTAGAAGCACCTGTGGTCACAGGTGCTAGATTTTTTTTTTCCCCCTCTTTATTCCTTGGCACTTAGCCCAGTGCCTGAGTTTCATGAGCGGTGCAAGGTTAGAGATAACCAGGTTCACAGACATTTGTGTCTTCCCTCAGTGTAAGACTTTTATTGATGCTATTTCAATCACAAAAGCCACAAGCTAAGGCATGGAGTTCCCAAAGAGGTGATTAGTACTTACTTGTTCATTCATGAGTCGGAGCTGTGGGCAAGGCTCAAGCCACTTCACAAGTCACTCAACATTGTAGACCATACATAATAGTACCCCTAATCAATATATAAATGTAATAGATTAAACATCCCACAATCATCAAGTAATTTAACATCAAGAGAAAAGAAATAGGAGAACTAGGACTGAAAAAGAACAGGACTTGTTAACCAGTCCAGGGAGCGCTAGGAAGATGTAGATAATCTCCTGGTCTCGGTAGGGCGGTTGGTAGAACTTTCAAGGAAGAGTCTTTAATGTGGCAGAGGCTTCAGTGGCAGATTCCAAGTTCTTATCATGAGTGACAGCAAGACCGTGTCAGTTAAGCTGGCCATTTGGAGCTGCTGAAGGCCTGATCTTTTTATGACTAGAGTCCTCTGGTGAGGGCTGATAGTGGAAGAATATGATTGGTTATGTCCTTATCTGGTTGAATGCAGTTTTTATTTTTTGCTTGTTAAGCGAAACATCTTATCATTGTTGGCAAAGTCCCCTATAAAATAGCAAATTGAGGCCAGGTGCGGTGGCTCACACCTGTAATCCCAGCACTTTCAGAGGCCAAGGCGGGCAGATCACCTGAGGTCAGGAGTTTGAGACCAGCCTGGTCAACATGGTAAAACCCCGTCTCTACTAAAAATACAAAAATTAGCCGGGCCTGGTGGTGCACACCTGTAATACCAGCTACTCAGGAGGCTGATGCAGGAGAATTGCTTGAACCTGGAAGGCAGAGTGCAGTGAGCTGAGATTTCGCCATTGTACTCCAGCCTAGATGACAGAAAGAGACTCAATAAAAAAAAAAAAAAAAAAAGAAAGAAAGAAAAAAAGAAAATTGAGTCATCTTTCTAAGATGGAGCTATATAATTATGTCCAAGGTATTCTAAACCCTGAGATCTAATTGGGCTGCAGAACACGCCCACAAAATTGAAAGACTTTTCAGTTTTATTAACATTTTTCCTAATGGATATTCCCTCCCTACAATTTCTTAAAGGTATGATCCAGTAATTTTCTACTTTTTAAAATAGTTTTAGTATTAGTTGTTATTTTTTTTTCCAGGAGAAGCAAATCTGAAGTAAATAAGTTTAAATTGTAAACATTTCCAGCAATGGAGATTTTTATGTTAAAAAGATAGGCATAAGAATTCATCTTTTTGATTGCCAAAAGTAAAATCTAGATTTGGGCATAAATGTTATTTTAATTTCCAGGTGCACTGTGATTGATTATTCTCAGCCTATTTAAAAACGAAATTTTAGGCTTTATTTCTATCATTTAGACAGACCATAGTGTTGATTGTAGAAAATTGGAAAATACACGTAAGCGAATATAATTAATAGATAATCAGAGTCAATAATTATCTTGCTATCCGGTGACAACAATTGTTTACAACTCCATGCATATCGGGAGATGGTATAGGATAGTGGAATTAACTGTGGCTTAGCCACAAGTTGACCTGGATTTGTGTTTCAAGTTGACCACTTCCTACAAATGGTTTTAACCTTTTGTTGCCTCAGTTTCCTCATCTATAAAATGGGGCTAACAATGGTAATTTCTCCATGGGCTTTTTGTGAGGATTAGATGGAATAATGTATAAAGGAAGGGTTTGGCAACAAACAAATACTGTAGATGCTCTTTCTACTATTATCCTTCCATACTTTTTGCTATGCATATATACATTTAAAATAAAATCAGATAGTAGCATGTATATTGATATATAACCTGTTTTCCACTTACTAATACATAACAAATATCTTTTAAAAGCAATCACATAGTAATTTATTTTTTGTACATGCCAAAATACATTTAACCAATATCTTATTATTATTATTATTTTTTTGAGATGGAGTCCCGCTCTGTTGCCCAGGCTTTAGTGCAGTGGTGCGATCTCAGCTCTCTGCAACCTCCACCTGCCAGGTTCAAGCAATTCTCCTGTCTCAGCCTCTCAAGTAGCTGAGACTACGGGCACATACCGCCATGCCCGGCTAATTTTTTGTATTTTTACAAAATACAGATGGGGTTTCACCATGCTGGCCATGCTGGTCTTGAACTCCTGACCTCGTGATGTGCCCACCTCGGCCTCCCAAAGTGTTGGGATTATAGGTGTGAGCCACCATACCCAGCCATATCTTATTTTTCTGTGTTTTTATGTTAATAACCCGAGTTAACATTTAGTTATTGGGTTTCTTTTTGACTGAATTAGTTTTAATATTTAAAAAAGTAGCAATAATTTTAGGTACTGGATTTTAATTGTTTTTTATAATTTTGACTCTACCTTTTTCTTAGGAGCAGAGAGAATTTCCATTTTTTAGTCGAAGGTTACAGAATATGACTGTGACACATCTGCTTTACAGTCTTTAAGTAGGCAGATTAATACTTTGCAAACAAAAACTACCAGCTTGAGACCCAGCCCCTGACCCTTCCTAGTTCATCTCAGCTTCCTCTCCTGCCAAGAGTCTCTCCCAGCTCCCTCCCACCCCACTT